GGGGAAAAAACCAAAAAAAAAAAAAAAAAAATCTCCAGTCACTGTGTGTATGGCCCCCACATACAGCTGATAGCACCCTTAGCAACCTTGACTCCTTCTATTCACTAAAAACAAGCATTGGGGGGAAAAAAAAGGCGGAGGTGGGGTGGTGGCGGCGGCGGCGGCGGCGGCTGCTGCGGCGGCGCAAGCCTTTAATCCCAGCACTCAGGAGATAGAGGCAGATAGATCTCTATTTGAGACTAGCCTGGTCTACAAAGCAAGGTCCAGGACAGCCAGAGCTGTTACACAGAAAAGAAATTAAAGTGCCACCGTTAACTGCCAGGACACAAACAGGAAGACTGGGTCTGGAGCATCCTTGAGACGCAGGTACTTACTGCGCAGGTGCCATGGAGCTAGCTGACATCTGTGATGTTTATGTTCTCGCTGTCGTTACTGTTTAGGAAGAGGGAGTGGGGAACTGAGGGAAAGGAAATCTCTTCTTCTGGAAACTGAACGGTAGAAGCAAAGCAAAAACAGTTTGTATTTTAACCACCTTGATTTCTTCTATACTTAGGCCGAAACACTGAAAAGAAAACTGGGGTCTAAATTTTGGTTCCACCACACAATTTGACAGAGGCACATTCAACTACTTGGGAGGCTGAAGCAGGAGGAAAGTTCAAGGTCAGCCTGGGAAACTCAGCAAGACCCTGTGCTACCGTTAAGAGGCCTTTTAATCCTAGTACTAAAAGGGGCAAGCAGATCTCCTAGTTAAAAATTTTAAAGAAGCTGAATGTGGTTGCACACACCTTTAACTGACCAGAGGTAGAGGCAACTGAGTTCCAGGCCAGTCTGGTCTATAGGGTGAGACCTTCAGAAAACGACAGATAGAGCTGGTAGGATGGCTCAGAAGGTAAAAGTGCTTGCCAAACCTGACAGACTGTCCTCTGACCTGCCCCCCCCCCCCAAAGGAAGTATGATGTCAATGCTTAAAAACAAGTTAAAAGAGGGCTGGGGATGAAGCCGAATGGTAGAACACGATTATTGTGTTAAAGACCTTAGGGTCAATCCCTAGCACCATTACCATTTAAATCTCCCATACTCACGGTGTGTGTGTGTGTGTGTGTGTGTGTGTGCGCGCGTGCGCGCGCGCTCTCTCTCTCATAATCTAGCACTGTGCCTGTAGACCAGAACTGAAATATCTTTATGGGTAGAAAAATCACTAAAAAACTGAACTGGAAAGTTGGGTCAGTGGTTAACAGCACTTGCTCTGCCTGATATGGTGTCACACGCCTTCAATTCCAGCACCTGGGAGGCAGAGGCAGGTGGATCTCTATGAGTTCAAGGCCAGCCAAGGTTGTGGTGGTATTCTAATTGTACTGAATTGTGATTTTGATTGTATGTTAATAAATAAAGTTGCCCGGGGGTCAGAGCTATTAGAGCCATAGACAGAGTGTGGCGGTGGTGGCACACGCCTTTAATCCCATAGATCGCTGTGTGTTCAGGGATACAGCCAGCATTTGAAACATGCCTTTAAGACCTGGGGGGCTGTACATTCAGACAGTGACGAGGCAGTCACGTGTTTGGGTTTACAACCAATGAGAAGGCAGAATGACTATGAAACGATTTACACACAGGAAATAGCTCTCTTTCGGGAAGCTGGGACACCGCAGGCAGAAGGGTGAGATTTTAGCTCTGAGCTCTGACCTCTTGGCTTTCTCTTTTACATTGTTTCTGTTTCTTATTTAATAAGACGGTTGGTTACATCTACACAAGGTAGCATAGAGAAAAGCACTTTCTGCTCTTTCAGAGAACCCAGGTTCAATTCCCAGCATTCATATGGTGGCTCACCAAGTCTCTAACTCCTGTTCCAGGGATCTGATGCCCTCTTCCGACCTCTTCAGGCACCAGGGACACACACACACACTGACACACACACACACACACACACTCACACACACACACAGTGCACAAACATACATGCAGGCAAAGTATCCATACACATAAAAGGATATAAATTTTAAAATTTAAAAAAGAGCGGACACTCTGTGTACTAAAATTACTTTTATTACAGTTGATCTTTTAAACATTTCCTTTGCTATGATACAAAGGATACTTACAAACAAAATATTACATATGACCTGTTTTCGTTCTTAAGATTCTGACAACTTGGTAACAGCTTTAAATGCACAATCTATACAATTAATACAGGTTATATACGAACTATAAGGTATGCTGAACCAGAAGAATACTGACAATATACTGTACAATAAGCCTTACCAGTTAGTGCTGTGGACCATTTCTATGAAAAGGAAAATGCACACCCGCAGTCACCTTTCCCAGCTGGTGCTGACAGTGAGGGAGAGAGGCTTCTTCCTCATCGCAACCCTTGGTAAGCCTCCACTGTGGGCATCTGTTTAGTCTACAATTTGAAAGGACTGGGTTTACTCAAAATTATCCACCATTAAAAGTGTTAGGATACTGTGTGTTCATATGATAATCTCTTGCCCTTCCCCAAATCTCTCCGTTTTAAACGACCGTAAGTCCTTTGTCCACTATGAAAACCCTACAGGCTCAAGGGCTTTAGGAAAAGATGAAGGCTGCCAAATAAGGAGGCAAGAAACCAAGCCAAAATCTAGGTCTTGCAAAATCATCACTTTCCCCTTCACCAAAGGGAACTAGAAATGTACAAATTCATTGACGAACCTCAATGATAACACATCAGTTAGCTGATAACCCTCACTTATCAGGACCTGACTTGTGGGAATAACTCAAACAGACTGTGGGTACCATACACCACGTTTTGTACAGAACATCTTACTTAGTGAAAATATTCCCTTTAGCCATCGAAGTTGGTCCTGGGCCGACAGGTGTGCATTTCTCTCTCAGTGGTCTACTCAGAAATGATAAGGTTACAGCTTTTTTTTTCTTTCTTTTTTTTTTTTTTTAAATTTTAAATAAAAAAAGCAATTGACTGAAGCATTTTTTTTTTTAGGTAAATAGCAAAAATAAAAATAAAAACCAACCCTGGCATTTGCACAAATAAGCAAATGGAATGCCATGGCCTTTAAGAGGTTAGTAGTAGAAAGACTAAAGTGAAGAAAATCCAGAGAAAAATCATGTATTAATTTCCTTCTTTTTTTTTTTTAAATTTCTACATGTGCAAAAAGAAAAAAAAAAGAAAAGAAAAAAGAAAAACAAACAAACAAACAAAAAACCCCATGCTGTTTGAGGAAACCGAAAAGAAATGAATACATAAAACTAAAAATATAAATAACGTTTGGATGATTCGGTAAAAACAGAAACCAACCTGGGTTATAGAAGGGTTATACATTCAAGATGCTTTTAAACCCAGTGGGATAACTTATGTTAAAACTGTGTTAATAGTTAACTTTAAAAATCTCAAGTTTGTTCTTAAATCTTCACAATACAAGCAAAGCTGTTTAAAATATACACTATACATATTTCTCATAGTCTCTCCAACCTCTTAGTGCGCATTAGGCTTTTTCATATACTAAAAGGAGGGGTTCTCAAAGCTAACTTGCTCATTATAACCTGCATTATTTAAATGTTTTATATGGGTTAAAAACCTTTTCAGACTTACATAAATAGGATTTAGCAACACAAGTGTTAATTTAGAAACTCTAAAGCATTTACAAATAGTCAGGTTGGAACAGCCTAGGCAAGTTATGTGCACTGTACTTTAAAATGTTATTTACATCAGACCATTGTTTTTGTAAAAATTTCCCTAAAAAAATAAAAAAAAAGAGAATTAACCTATTCTAAAACTAGCAGAGAAGGATCACAAAAAGTAAAATAAGAACAAAATTATTTCCTAATGGAAACCCCACACATCCCCCTTCACTTGGATTTTACTCTATAAAACCACCGTGACTCCTAATAGGCTCTTCTATCAAGTGTCAAGATTATGTGGTAAAACAGTTTGTTAGGTAAATTACTGGCCAAGTGGACTTGAAAAAAATGTTTTTCCACCTTGTCTCTGGCTTGGGTTACATGTGTATTTAAATTGAGGGGCAATCTAAATAGGCACAATTCCCATTTAATGTGGACAAAAAGACAAAATTAAATTGTTAGGAAGAAAGGGTGATGATTTCTTTCAGAGTATGACGTGCAAGGACAACAGCACATGTGGAATGAATGGGCAGCAAAAGACAACAGCATGGCTGTACCCTAGGGCAGCCAACGCCTTGATAAACTGATAGCTGTTTATGACCCAAAGAAAGGGCAAGGGCTCCAGTACCCTCACTGTTATTTGAGATGGAGACCAACCAAACTGCAAACTCAGGCAGCTGCATCTTTCAAAATGACAGAATTCGCTTGATGACCATGTGCAATTTATATTAACAATAATGTTCATGCCGAGGCAATGTATTTGAGGGCTAAGAAAAAGCAAAGTGTGCCACTGAGAGAAACCTGTTTCCGTATAACTGGTCTTCATGCTTTCAAGTGGCTCTAATATACCTTGGACACTAAGCCAAGCCATGCAAAAGCAAAGAGTACATACTTTTCATTAACATTGGTATCTCATTTCTAAACCACTGACTTCAAAGTTGCCATAGAAACATATAACACAATACTGAAAGCATACAATTGAGGGTTCATGGATTTTTAAGAAATGCATTTCCCTCATCTATGTTCAACAGTCTTTAATATCTTAGCTACAAGGCATATCAGAAGGAGGGAGGTTAAGTGGGGTAATGTCAAGGAACATACAGAATTCTGGAAGTAGGAAAAATGTTCCAGAAATGGGATCAATGTGCCAGCAATAAGCATAGTTCATTTCATTTTAAAATTCAGTTAAAAGAGCCCATAAACAGTCCCAAACCATAGTTATCACCTGCATAATTTACATAAACATCAACACACTTGCACTTTATAGACAAAACACTCTGTAAACATGGCCACTGGGGGGGGAGACTCCCTACACCTCACTCATGACTGACAACATGTAATCATCATATTAAATAAAATTACTTAGTTTCAAATGATTTCAAACCTGACCAATGATTAAGCTCCATTTCTCCCTGTTTAACAACATTTAACCATTAATTCTAAAAATGTCACCTAGGATGGTGTCAGGATTAGGTGCTAGAATCACAACTAGCAATGACAGCAACCTCTCTAGCTGGCACAGACCTATAAACTTTAGTACAAAACCAAAAAAATACAGAAACTAGGTCAATTTGTTAGCTACATATTTACAGATAATTACATGATTTCCACTCATAATTGTTAAAACTACAAGTGAAAGGAAACTGTGCAGGTTGAATTACCCGTACTGGGGGGGGGGAGGGGTTCTTGAGCATCAAGATACCCTTTTTCATTCATTGAGAAGTCTTTCCTTCTCTTCTCTCCACATTTCAACTACCTACAGATGTAAAGACTATATATCCAGTGGGCATTGGCTGGAGAGGATTAACTTTTTCCTCTGTTAAAGAACCCCTTGTATATTTAAAAGCAAAGCAAAACCCTCTCTCCCTCACTCTCTCTCTCTCTCTCCCTCTCTCCCTCCCTCCCTCCCTCTCTCTCTCTCTCTCTCTCTCTCACACACACACACACACACACACACACACACACAGTTCGGATTGCTGCAAACAGTGAACAGATATGGTGACATAGTACATGCTCCCCAGTTTGTATTCCGTTTCTATTTCTTAAGATACTTATTTTTGCATGGATGGGCAGTGCAAGTTTCAGAAGCCTGCAACAGCAGATATGGTGCCTATTTCTTATGATCTGAAGGCCAGCCACTTATTTGAATAAAACTTTGGAAATCTGAATATAATCAAAGAGGAAAAAACAAGTCAATACAACTTTAAAAGTGGGCTATCAGAATTCAGCAGAAAATATAAATGCACAAAAGGAAGAGTTCTCAGCTTCACTTTCTTTTTCTACAGTGTTTAATAAAAATTTCTTTACAAATTAATAATTATTTCCAACGCAGATGTACTGTAGTGATTTCATAAAAGTGCAGACAACATAACCAGACACAGCAAAACAGACTTCAATCAGTAGTCCTTGCATACAAGAGGCACGTATGCTGAGTGTACAGCACACTCTTCATCCTTTAAGGAATCCGAGGGTGGGAATTTCCAGTTCTTAACTAAGGGTGAGCGCCTTTTAAAAGGCAATGCTAAACCAGGGAAGGGAGACTTCTGTTATAGGGGAACAAAACAAAAACAATGTGTTTATCTTCAATATTGATCTGTATTTTGATAAGCAGCTCAATGACAGCCCAAATTTTGACTTTGCTCTTTAGAGAAGGCTCTATGTAAGAAGTGAGAAATTTTCATCATTATAGAAGATTCACACTTAGTACACCTTAAATATATTATTTTTCTGACTTTAATATACATTAGGACACTTCACATTCTGAACATGAGTCAAATGCAGAACTATAAACCTCCAAAAGAAAGGGTTGCTGTGGCTGAGCATGGTGGTTCAGGCCTGGAATCCCACTACCTGGGAGCCTGGGACAGGAGTGCTAGGAATTTGAGGTCGGCCTTGGGAAAACATCAATTACCAGACCAGAAAGGGTTACACAGCAAGACCCTGTCTCAAAAGAAAAGAAACTAAGAAAGGGGTGTTGTGTTGGACCAAATCTCTGCTTGAACAGCAGTGGCTCAGAAGGGGTGGAAGGTTCATAAGGAACTTACTATTAGCAAATAAGAAGAGTACTTAAAAGGAGACAACCCTTCAAATCAGTTCACACCTTCTCTCCCAGTGACCACCTCCTGTAATTAACAGTTTAGGAGAACCTTAGATATGTTTTAGTAGTAATTTCTTTCTTGGCAGTTTTGATCCTCAGTAAAATACAGAACTATTGCTATTAAGAGGAAAAGGGAATGAGGGGGTCACGGATTCAGCACTAAGAATCTAAAAGGTCTATTAAGAATGTGACTCACTGACTTTTTTACCTTTGCAGAATCAGCACTAGTGTGTTCTTTGCACAGTTTACTTTTCTCCTGCTTGTATCTTTTGTTGCATTGTAAAACAAACTCAAAGAAACACCATCTGGCTCCTTCCCTATCACATTTTTACTACATTGTAATTTATGGTTTCATTTTACTTAACTTTCTCCTAATAGAAGTGCTAAGGGATTGAAAAAGAAAGACTGCATCTACTAATCATCTCATAAATATCAGCCCAGAGTACTCTTTAAAAACAGACACATCCTTGCCTTAACAGAGGATAAAAAAGAAAACAACAAAACTCAAAGCTGAACCCTGGCAGACATATATAGAGTGAGTTATAACCATCCATCTACACACACATATAGACACACTCTCTCTCTCACACACACACTATACACAAATGAAAACAGCTATACCAAAAATGTGCATATGTAACAGTTTTAAAAAGCCAGTAGATCATGGTATAATACAATTTATTTCCACTTGTAAATGGCACAAATGGAGAAATGCAAAGGTGTTCAAGTACAATGAAATCATTTTTATAGGTGAAAATAAATCATATTATTCCAGTGTCCAAAACAATGTATTCTATATATGTTTAAAATGCTAGACATTTACAGAAGCACAAACTTACTAAATTCTGCCTTAAGATCTGGGGGAAAAAAAAAAAGGATGTACACAAAACCTTGTTAGTAGCAGGATGGATCTGTAGGTCAGTTTCTTTAGTGTTCTGAATGTTGTTTACTTGGTATCCAGGCAGTCAAAAAATCATAACGACGATGTACAAAGCCCCACTTACTAGCAAGGCCTTGAATTGAGACTAAGTGTGTTTCATCTGTGGATGTGACATTATAATCAGGACTATTCATCTCTAGTTATGGAAATGTGCAGAATAGGAACTCTAAAATATAAACACACTTTCAGCAAACATTGTTTACACAGTGTAAACACTTTCTGATGTCACAATTTAGGGTTAGAGCTAAGTTTAAAAGAAATGTTATGTGCAAAGGGCAGTGAATTTAATGAGAAATAAAATATCTCAAGATATGAGGCTTTGTATTTTTAAAATGCTGACCCAAGAAAGGTAGAACAAGAAAGTTTCCCTGTTAGGTTCTGGATACTAGAAATATATCCATAACTTCTGGTGCACTACCCATTTTTCCACACTTTCACTTTCTTCAACACACATATAATAAGTGAATTAACTGGGGAGGAGGTAGTGCTAATTTGGTCAAATGTTTACATTTCTACTCCCCCCCACCCCCAGAAAGTACTTGCCTTATCTTCTGGGTATTTCAAACCCTTTCAAAATTTCCTGCTACCAGTTTTTACTGTGATAAATTCTGCCGTGTACATGATTCCTCAGAAGTTAGCACTTACACACAAACCTATTAATTTTAATCATTTTGCAAACCACATGTATTTTAACTAAATTGATCGTATAATCATGACCTACATGGGAAAACTGGGTGCCACACAATTAGATGAGGCAGAAATTCCTATTGGACATGACACACAGTATTCAATCACACTAGTATGAGTGCATTACGATCAAAATGGACTCAGTCACTCAATCTGACCAAGTGAAGCTCACAGCTGGACTATAAAGTGTATCTCTGGTAGTAGTTTGGAGTCTGATGGAATTTTTTAATTCACATTTGACTTGCTTTCCCATTCTAACCCTCCGGGAGCAGATAGGGGCCAGATGTATGAAAAATGGTTTTTAATGGTTTTATAAGACCATCTTATAAAAGATGGTCTTCTTTTATAGTTTTGAACATCCTATTAAATCTAAAGCTTTCCCTTATTTCCTCCAAATATACAGAGCTCTCAATTTGTTTGAAACTCTTGAATAGTGTTTTGAATGCAAAAGACAGACAACTAAGAGCCCTTTTCATTAGTTATTTTTTCACCTAAAAACTGACATAGAACATGCTTAAACCCTGCCCAGAAGTGTGTGTAAACTTTACTGTCAACCTTCTATTGGTTTTCCAAGAATCTATATTATAGCATCTTTCTTTCTGCCCTTCGTGAGACAGATGAAGGCAACCTTGAACCCCAGACTCCCACTTCCCAAGTGCTGGAATTATAAGCATGTGCTACTACACCCTGATCTAATTTTTGTTTTAACTAGTGTCAGAAACCCTCAAACCAAAGTCAGAAATTCCTTAAGGGGGTAAGTCATGGAGACTGGAATGACATACCTGGACAAGACATAAAATGTTAAGAAAAGAAAGAATGTCAATAGTAGCAGATGACAATTTGGTCGCTAGTTTGTTCTAAGTATGATTAAGTGTGTTCTTACCCTCTAAATTCCATGAAAAGCAGGACCCAGAGTTAGCAACAAGAGCTCTTCAAAACAACTGAAAGGGGAGCAGGGCAATAACTTGTAAGAAACTCTGGTCTGTCACTAAAAATGGCACTGCCCCTTGTCTACCTCCAACTCACACTCTCCACAAGCAACCAGAGGACAAACTAGCACTGACGTAGACCACTGGATTGATCCTTCATTGAAAAAGAGAACACATTTTCCAGTTAGTGGTCCCTGACCACTATAGAACTTACTTTTAATTTTTGTTGTTGTTTTCTTTCACTCACCAAACTACTAGTTTCTTCTCAGTAGTATTTCAGCACTAAGCTGGAGACTTCTGAAAGGGATCTGCTATTGTGTGATATTAACATGGACCAAGGTGGTCCCCATCGAACTAAGTCTGTAAGGTACGCAGCAATACAACAGCGGCTGAACACAGAGGACCTGCACACAAAGCGGCACCCACAGTGTGAGGATTAGTCAGCGGCTGGTAGGCATTGGCTCAGACTCCTGGTGGCAACTAAATAAATAACTGACTATTGCTACTTGTAAACAGGAAATCCCATACGCCAAAAAGGGGGTAATAAAATTATGTCTGTGTAGTGTGATGAATATTCTAATAGGTGGCAGTTCACAAATATGGCATCATTCAAATACCTCTGGCATCTGCTCTGTGTTGGCTAAGTGTCTTTGTTTTTGTACAAACAAAGCAAAAGTACTGTCTGGGGTCTTAGAGTTTGGGTAGCATGAGATCTCACTGTACAAGAGACAAAATGTAGGAATAGAGAGGCTTTAGCTCCTCACTCCATGCTGAACATATCTATCACAGGAACTTTCAGGGTCCCCTGACCTTCTGGTTTTTCCCTCTGATAGTTCACAGGCTTGGTAGTGCAATCCCCACACAGCTTATGATCTCCTTAAGCAACTCCATCTTATAATGATAGAACCTACAAAATCAGCGACAAACTTCTGAAGCACTTAGCAAAGAACTACATGATTTTTTACCACCTGAAAAGGTGAATACAATCTTTTAATGTTCATGGTTTTCTGCTTTTTAGTCCGAATGAGGTTGGGAAGTCAGGCCCATTTCATAAAGAAAGGAAACACACTGGTAAGGAGTGGAGGTGTGTTTCAGCACAGATGCTACCTGCCCTCAGTGGCTCACAGACTGTGGAATAGGGAGGAAGGCTGTAGATCTTCCAATAAACTTCTTAGGCTATGGACATCCTAAAGTGATGATTCAGGCCAGTTTGCTTCATTTTATTTTGACATTGTTCAGATAAAACCCCTTCTATTAAGCCAATTTCTTTTTGCCACACACATGAAATATTTATCTATTCCCACTTTTAAAATTTTCCAAAAGTTAAAAACAAAGAAACAAAAAGCCAACCACAAAAACCCGGCAGCCAAATACTATGACAACCCAATTAGTAAACACAAAACATAACGCTTTACAAAAACGAATAAAATATACCATATGCACTCAGCTTCCACATGGTAGTACCCAAGTGAGGAGGCTGCGGTGATGATTTCTGTAGGCAGTTTCTTTTGGCAGACAGCTCCAGCGGAATTGCCACTTTCAATTATTATGTGTAAGACATGTGTGACCCATTGGATATTTGTGAAGTGACACTCGTGCTTCTGCTCATGCCCTGTTCTGTCCGTCCCCCAGAAGCTGTCCGCCTCAGAGCCTGGGGGCTATTGCGGACTCCCATACTGCTACCTCGAGGGACCCCTTGCATTGGCCCTGAGGGATGACCCCAAGGCTGGGGTCCACCTTGCATTGGATGGCCCCAAGCTTGTGGTGTGCCACCCATGGGATGACCCCAGTGAGGTCCGGGACCCCCAGTAGGATTGTGAGACCAACTAGAAGCTCCTGGGTAGCTGTGGCTGAATGCCTCAGGGGAGAGATTAGAAAGGACCATGTTACTGAAACCTAGTCTCATGCTTTCAGAGTCAAAAGCTTCAATTTCTCGGGCTTGACGTTCAAGCAGGCTACGTATTCGTTCTGTGCGTTCATTCTGCAAAGCCAACATCTCTTCTTCAATCTGTCAGGGTAGGAAAAGGGAGTAAGAATATCAATTTATGTTTCAGATCTATAAGCTAAAGCAGCAATAACTACTCAAAACAATCAACAGCTTTTTTTGTTTGTTTGTTTGTTTGTTTTCGAGACAGTGTTTTTCTGTGTAGCTTTGCGCCTTTCCGGGAACTTGCTTTGGAGACCAGGCTGGCCTTGAACTCACAGAGATCCGCCTGGTTCTGCCTCCCGAGTGCTGGGATTAAAGGCGTGCGCCACCACCGCCCGGCGATCAACAGCTTTTTTATGAATTATACTGAAAATTGTTTTAAAAGATACACTGGGATTACAGGTGTGTGCCACCACTGCCAAAACTACTTTTTTTTTTTTTTTTTTTAAATAGAGAAAGTGTTTACAGTTTTTGAAAGACATTCTATTCTTAAGTACAAATAGGATTTGAGACAGGGTCTCACTGTGTAGTCTTAGCTGGCCTTGAACTCACAACCTACCTGACCCTCCCTCTGGAGTACCCAGCCAGATTGTACTTTTTGACCTCATGTTAATTATGGTTAACAAAATAACCATTTCATTGTGATATCTAATAAATTGATAACCAATTTTTAGTGTGTATCTAAATTTCTCTTATTATCTCAAAAGTCTTGTTGATAATTTTTTTATTTGGATTGAGGTTCAAACAAAAACCATTCATTTTGTCATTTGTCTTTAATTTTTTTAAGTCTATAGCAGCTGTCCATTCTCCTCACCAGTCACTTGTAAACTGGCTATAAAAATGTCTAAATTCTGGATTTGATCAAATATATATATATATATATATATATATATATATATATATATATATATGTGTGTGTGTTTTGCTTTTGAGACAGGGTTTCTCTGTGTAGCTTTGGAGCCTGTCCTGGAACTCGCTCTGTAGACCAGGCCGGCCTCGAACTCACAGAGATCTGTTTGCCTCTGCCTCCCGTGTGCTAGGATTAAAGGTGTGCGCCACTACCACCCAGCTTACCAATTATATCTTGATGCCATCATTTAGTATTTTCTCCTGTGCTCTACTTGGTATTTGCTATAAACTGGTAGATCCAGAGGGATGTTTATATTTAGGTTAAATAAGGATTGACTGATTAATTGGTCATTATTGATATAAATTGGCCAAAACTCATTATCTTTCTTGCATCAGTCAGAACTCTCTGTGCCAGACAGAGGACAGTATATCCACATCTTAAATCAAACTGCACAAGAAATGGATTCAGCATGATATGGTTACCATGCTGAATCATGGTATGGTGTACCATCTTATCAGCTTTCTTCAAAGAAAACAAAACAAAACAAAATTGGGTTGGGGGTGGATGAAGTCACTACTGGTGATTGAACCCCAGATCTCCCGCAAGCTAGAAAAAATTACCACCTAGATACTACATTTTACATCACATAAAATGTGTGTCTGTTCAAAGAGTCCATTGCTTTATGTACCTCAAGCTATGCTGGAACTTTGCATCCTCCTGCCTCAGCCTGCCAAGTGCTAGAATTACAGATATGTGCCACCATGCATGGCTTGATCCTTCTTTTGATTAAACAAAAACATTTTAAATTATTTTTATTTATGAATATATACATTTTTGTCTGCACCATGTGTGTGCCTGATACTCATGGATAAAAGAAATGGGTGTCTGATCCTCTGAAATTAGAGTTACAGGTGGATATGATCTATTATAAGGGTGCTAGAAATCAAACCAGTGCTCTTAACCACTAAGCCATTCTCCAGGCCCATGTTTTGAGTAATATTAATATTAATCGGTAGATTCTGATGGTCAACTCATCCATGCAACAGAAAGTTTTCTTTCGGCTTTTTAAATTGACTGGGCTTGGCGATGCACACCTGTTATCCCAGCACCCAGGAGGCTATACATCTGGAGGTAAGAGCTGAAATAAGACTTTATAAAATTTGAAGAACTAGGGTTAGAAGTATTGCTCAGTCATAGAGCATGTGCTTAGTATGTGCAATGTTTTGCATCAAAAAGAGGAGAAGGCAGAGGAGGAGAAGAGAGGGGAGAGAAGGAAGGGGAGGGATAGCAGAGGAGGTGGATGACAGTTGAGCTGGGTCCTGGGGATCACACACAGCTTGTCAGGCTTGGCAGCAAATGCCTCTACCTGCTCAGCCATCTCACCCGCCCTACTTTTATTTACTTATTTAACTCCCCCTCACCACCCCAAGACAGGGTTTCTCTGTGTAGCTCTGGCTGTCCTGGAACTCACTCCATAGACCAAGCTAAGAGACAGACAGTGATCTGCCTGCCTCTGCCTCCCAAGTGTACCGCTGCTACCACAATCTGGCTTCTGCTTTTCTTTTTTTAATACAGAGTCTTGCTGAGTTGCCCATTATGGCTTTGAACTTGCAATTATCCTGTCTTGGCCTCCCCAGTAGTTGACATTGTAAGCCTGTGCCACCAGGCTTGATTGAAGTAAATAAACAAATATTAATTTATCAACAGTAATTATAAGCGAACACACACACACACACACACACACACACACACACACACACACCACACACACACACCCACACACCCACACACTAATGTATTCTATTTTTATTACAAGAACTACATGAACACAAAACTTTACAAGGCAATGGTTCAAAACAATGGATGGCAATTTTAAGATGACCAATAGGCAAGTACTAACTAACAATGCACAATGGACTGAACTACATCAGCTATTGTGAATTTACTGCTCAAGAACTTTGGAACGTATCACTGAATTCCGTATATAAATTACTAACATTTCTCATAACGAATGCCTTCCCTTTTTAAACTCAAAAATCTTTTGCTAATATCCTTTTACTAAATCAATCTCTCTCAGACAGACAGACAGAAATACATATACCTTAGTACTTTGAATGACAAATTAATTTCAAGATTCTAGGTCTGTTTTCTAATATATCTGACAATAAGTCAGAAAAAGTAAAGACATGCTAACATGGTGCTGCATGTTTGTAATCCCAACGCTAAGGTGGAAACAACTCTGAGGAGAGTTCAAGGCCAACTTAAACTATAAGACTTGTCTCCATCCCCGCCTCCACCCCCACCCGCCAAAGCTCCAAACAGTAATGATGAATCTGGATGTATAAGATGTATAATTTTTCAGCTTGTGGAACTGGTTTTAACTTCTGTTCCTCAGTAATTTCCCACTAGCTGTACAGTTTCAGACAAAGACTTAAAGTTTATATATACACTCCTGGTTCGTTCTCTCTCTCTCTCTCTCTCTCTCTCTCTCTCTCTCTCTCTCTCTCTCAGGCAATCCCTGCAATTTTTTTTTTTTT